GCCATCCTCATGATCATTGTTGTGTCGATCCATCTCATTAGGGGTCTTCCTCTTTTTTGCAGACCCTCTACTTTACCAATCATTATGTCCTTTTCCAGGGACTGCTCACTCCTGATAATCTGTCCAAAGTATATGAGACAAAGTCTCACCACCCTCATTTCTAAGGAGCATTCTGGCTGTACTTCTTCCAAGCCAGATTTATTCATTCTTCTGGCAGTCCATGGTATATTCAATCTTCTTTACCAACACCGTAATTCAAACGAGTCAATTCTTCTTCAGTCTTCCTTCCGGCTTTCGCATGCATATGAAGCGATTGAAAACAACATGGCTTGGGTCAGGTGCACCTTAGTCCTTAAAGTGACATCTTTGCTTCTGAACACTTTAAAGAGGTCTTTTGCAGCAGATTTACCCAATGCAATGCTTCTTTTGATTTCCTAACTTCTGCTTCCACGACAGTTGATTGTTGATCCAAGTAAAATGAAATCCTTGACAACTTCAATCTTTTCTCTATTTATCATGAGGTTGCTTATTGGCCCAGTTGTGAGGATCTTTGTGTTCTTTATGTTGAGGTGTAATCCATACTGAAGGCTGTGGTCTTTGATCCGCATCAGGAAGTGCTTCAAGTCCTCTCACTTTCAGCAAGCAAGGTTGTGTCATCTGCATAACGCAGGTTGTCAGTGAGTCTTCCACCAATTCTGATGCCCTGTTCTTCTTCGTATAGTCCAGCTTCACAGATTATTTGCTCAGCATACAGATTGAATTAGTGAAAGGATACAACCCTGACACACATCTTTCCTGACTTTAAAACCACACAGTATCTCCTTGTTCTGTTCTAACGACTGTCTCTTGATCTATGTACAGGTTCCTCATGAGCACAATTAAGTGTTCCGGAATTCCTATTCTTTGAAATGTTACCCATAATTCATTATGATCCACACAATTGAATGCCTGGTGGCATAGCTTCCAGTGTCACAGCAGCACACAAGCCTCCACAGTACAACAAAGTGACATACATGTGAGGGGATTTATGTGTAGCATCTCCTGAAGATTTCTTACCCCCTAATGTAGGACAAGAGGCCCTGGTGGTGTGGTGGTTAAACGTTTGGCTGCTACCTAAAAGGCTGACTGTTCAAATCCACCAGCCGCTCCTTGGAAAGCCTATGAGGCAGCTCTTCTCTGTCCTACAGGGTCACTATGAGTCTGAATTGACTCAATGGCAATGGGTTTTTTGTTTGTTTGTTTGTTTAGTGTAGGCCATAAGAAATAATAAAATAAAGAGGGTCATGGTTCTCACACTCTGGAATTGAACTCTTGTGTGATGTCTTCTGCACATTTGCATGAAAGTCACTTGAAGGGTGTGGAGCGGTTTCTTATACCAGTCTCCAGTCCTTGTCTCTGAGATGCAGTGTGTGCCCTGGAATGTCTACTTCTTCATATGGGCAATAAAGCCCTCCACCCTGCTTACAGCTAATGTTGCCACCTAAGCGTCAAAGAAGTAAGGTCCTTTGACTGGGCCTTGAAAAGCCATCTGTTTTTTACTTAGTAACATCAATGTGGCTGCAAGATTCTGCTATGTTATCTTCTAGGTTAAGCTGCATATTAATTTACTTAAGCTTTCAAAGTCTTTGTTTCCTCATCTATCAAATGGTAAGGCTAATTATTATGGCTTCCTCATGGGATTTTGTGAAAATTAAAGGAGCTTGAATCTGTATTAATAGATGTTAGTTATTAGAGTTGGTACTGTTACACTTCACTTCTTCTTAACCACAGGCTGGGGCAATGGGGGAGACACTCAGATTAGAAGTGCTGTCTTCTACTTAGAGTCTGAGCTAAAAAGAATACGTCCCACTGTGGGGCTCCATGGGTTCCCCGCATTGCACTGTTGCATTATTCTGTCCTAGCAGAAGCTGAATAATAGCTCAGGGTGGCTTCTGTGTAAGTGCTTCATATCCTATATTGTCTGGACTATGGTAGAAATAAACATCAAACTATAATTAACATGGTTGACACTCATCAGTATTACCATATAAAGAAAGCCAAGATTCTCATTACCTTAATATTAAATCCTCACAATGCCATTCTCATCTTCCTGTGTTGTCTTGGCATGGTGTTAGGAGAGGACAATAGGAGGAAGAGAGAGACAATTGCTCTCCTCAACCCCTAGGTTTCCGAAAAAAGAGAAAAGGAAAGTAAGGTGTTTATCTGTTATTTCAAGGAAATCATTTAGAAAATATTATTTTGCTCATTTAAAGTCCACTAAATGTAAAATTCTTTCACTGTCATTTCTAATTAATTTATATCAGAGCCCCAGCCGCACCAACCTGGTGGCGGAGGAGAAGAAATTTCCTAGATCATCCCACTTTTTTCTTCTGTATACAGGCAGGGACATTTGTTCAAGGGTTATTCTGGATGGATGCCTCTCTTTATTTATTTTTACATTTTTTTAATTGTACTTTAGATGAAGGTTTATAGAACAAACTAGCCTCTCATTAAAGAGTTAGTACACATATTGTTTTATGATATCGGTTAACAACCCCATGACATGCCAGTACCCTCCCTTCTCAACCTTGGGTTCCCTATTACCAGCTTTCTTGTCCCCTCCTGCCTTCTAGTCCTTACCCTTGGGCTGGTGTGTCCCTTTAGTCTCATTTTGTCCTATGGGTCGGTCTAATCTTTGGCTAAAATGTGAACCTCCAGAGTGACTTCATTGCTGGGCTAAAATGGTGTCTGGGGGTCATACTCTCGTGGTTTCTCCAGTCTCTGTCAGGTCAGTAAGTCTGGTCTTTTTTGGAGTTAGAATTTTGTTTTACATTTTCCTCCATCTCTGTCTAGGACCCTGTATTGTGAACCCTGTGTGAGCAGTCGGTGGTGGTAGCCAGGCACCATCTAGTTTTCCTGGACTCAGTCTGGTGCAGGATGTGGTAGTTGTGATCCATTAGTCCTTTGGACTAATCTTTCCCTTGTGTCTTTAGTCTCCTTCATTTTCCCTTGCTCCTGAAGGGGTGAGACTAGTGGCGTATCTTAGATGACTGCTCACAGGCTTTTAAGACCCCAGCTGTTACTCACCAAAGTAGAATGTAGAACATTTTCTTTATAAACCATATTATGCCAATTGAGCTAGATGTTCCCCAAGACCATAATCCCCACAGCCCTCAGGTCTTGGAAGCTCCATGGGCAAATCCAAACTCCCTGAGGGACCCAGTTACTGAGCTGAGGGCTGTGGGGTCCATGGTCTCATGGATACCTCTCTTTCTAAGTAGTCTGGATTTCAGCCTTGAGTCCACATTTGCTCTCATAACTAGCCAAGCTGGATCTGGGTACATGGAAACATCTAGGTACAGACTAGATAACAACTGTTAACACGAGCAGCCTATCCTATAAGCCTACCCTTATACCAGTTTGGAGCCCTGGTGGTCCAGTGGCCAGGAGCTACGGCGAGCTACAGCTGTTAACTAAAAAGGTTGGCAGTCCGAATCCACCAGCAGGAAGGACACTTCAGCCTCATTTCTCCTGCTAGCATGAGTTAGGAGAGCCAAGATGTGGATTTTGGTTCATCATACTCCGTATCAGTCGCAATACAGACACCTCAAATTAAAATGTTGTTGTCATTAGTTGCCATTGATTCATTCCCAACTCATGACAACCTTATGTACAACAGTGAAACCTTGTCAGGCCCTGCACTATCTTCATAATCATTGGCATGTTTAAGTCCATTGTTTCAACTATTATTATCCATAAGGTTTTCATTGGCTAATTTTCAGAAGAAGATGGCCAGGCCTTTCTTCCTAGTCGGTCTTAGTCTGGAAGCTTCTGCTGGCATTTGATATTCCATTGACATAGCTTCCAGCATCATAGCAAAACACAAGCCACCACAGTATCTCTTTAAAAGACTGTGCTTGCTATCCAAAGCAGTTTCCAAAAGAACTGGAAAATAAGTTCGCTTCCATGATCCAACTAGTTAAGTCAAAGCATGGTAGATAAAGTCACACTTTGTCTCCTAACTTGATCTTTACTACACCAGGAACAGTTACATAACTCTATTAATGAAATGGTCACCTACAGGAATGTACCATCAGGAAAGCAGTCTAGGAGCACCCCACAGAGGCAGACACATGCACTGAGCATGGTACCAGTTACTGAAATGAAGGGTTGAAGACTATGAATCTGGGAAGCATGTGCATGTTGAAGATCTACATACCAAATCCCTGGAATTGGTTCACTTGGTCTCTCCAAAGCCAAAGAGAAATATCTCCTGAAATGATTCGCCACCTTTAGCAGATTTCCCAATATTACCAAGTAGCTTTCTCACTACTAAATTGGCTTCCCAGGCATTGTCAGACTGGTAGGAGGAGGTACGCTCTGAGAGGACGCACCAGTGAGGAATTCACTGCAATGAAATACACGCATTTAAAATTTCTGAAGTGTCCTGATTCGAATCATAAGTTTCATGTACCCCTGCTTGCTGGGAATCAGATGGAAAATCTGACCTTTTCTAGATGTATCATTTTGGTTTGTAGATCTCAGACTGAAGCATACTGATCTAAAAACTGCTGCCCTGAGGGACCTTGAGAAAGTCTGCTTCATCTCTTAGGCTTCCCCTGCAACATGTACAGGATATGATTTCTGAGCCACCAAGAAATTCTTGCTACTCAAAAAACAGTTATCACTGCTGTCACAATGCCTTAAATTTTACCATTATAAGTTACAATTCAACACAATCAATTCTTGTCAAGGTTAGTGACAGGGTAAATGTGATATGCCTTGTTCAGGTCAGACTGAAAGCTGGCTGGTAAAACATGTTCAGTGTGTACTTTGCCTCGATTCAATAAAGTTCAGTGGTGGTTACTGTTTTGGTGGAATATAGCGTATTTCTTGTATTAAATGATTGTTTATGCTCTAAATAGACCAGGAACATTTGGTAAGACTGACCTTTGCAGGTACTAAAGTGAAGGGCAAAACAGACTAAAGTTTTAATCTTATATCCAGCACATGATGGTCATGTGCTCACTTTGGTAGCACATGTACTAAAATTTGAGCAATACAGAGAAGATCACCATGGCCCCTGTGCCAGGATGACATGAGAATTTGTGAAGTGTTCCATATTTTTGGAGCCCTGGTGGTGCAATGATTAAGCATTTGGCTTCTAACCAAAAAGTTGACAGTTCGAATCCACCCGTCGCTCCTAGGAAACCCTATGGGGCAATTCTACTCTATGCTATAGGGTCGCTATGAGTCGGAATTGATGAAAATGGGTTTTTTGTTTGTTTGTTTGTTTGTTTTTTGGATGTTCATAATTTGTGGGTCAAGACATGGCAATAATTAAAACCCTAAAATTACCATATGACCTAGCAATTCCATTCCTAGGTGTACACCAAAGAGACTTGAAAGCAGGGATGTAAAAAGAAACATGTTCACCAGTGTTCATTGCAACACTAGTCACAGTAGTCAAAAGATAGAAACAGTCTAAATGTCCATCAACAGGTGAATGGATAAACAAAATATGACACATGCCTACAATGGAATGTTACTCAGCCATAAAGAGAAATGAAGTCCTGACACATGCCACAACATGGAGGAACCTTGAAAACATTATGCTGATGAAACAAGTGAGTCACAAAAGGACAAATATTGTATGATCTCACTTATATGGAATGTCTAGGAAAAGCAAAAGTAGAGAGATCAAAGTTCTGTTAGTGGCTACCAGGGGCTGGAGGGAGGGAAAAGGGGAAATCATTGATTAGGAAGCAGTGAGTTTCTGTTTATGGTGATGGAAATTCTCGCAAAGCGTGGTGATGGTTGTACAACATGATTAGGGTGATTGATGTCACTAGACTGTACACGTGAAAAACATTGAATAGGCAAATGTTGTGTTATATAACTCCTTACAACAGTTGAAAAAACAGAAACTGTATGTATTTGATATTTTAGTGATCATGTGGCACTCTGTGTGGAAGGATGAACGTTTCTGAAGGGCTTCTCAGTACCAAAGACTGTGCTAGTCTCTGGTGGCACAATGGTTAAGTGCTTGGCTACTAATGAAAGTATTGGTGGTTTGAACCCACCCAGGGGCTCCTCAGGAGAAAAGACTTGGCAATCTGCTCCAGTAAAGATTGGAGCCCAGTAAGCCTTACAGGGCCATTCTACTTTGACCTTATAGGGTTGCTATGAGTCAGAATCAATTCCATGGCACACAAAAACAAGAAGTGTGAAAACAGTTTGCACTTGACCGCTATCCTAAAGGTTGGCAGTTTGAACCCACCCAGCAGTACCAGAGAAGAAAACCTTGGTGATCTGCTTTTGTTAAGATTATAACCAATAAATCCCCATAGAGCAGTTCTACTTTGTAACACCTATGGTCACCATGAGTAGGAATAAACTTGACAACAACAGGTTTGTTTGTTTTTTCTCACTGCCAAGGACTATAATAACCCGTTGCTGTCCAGTTGATTCCGACTCATAGCAACCCTACAGGATAGAGTAGAACTGTCCCATAGGGTTTCTGAGGAGCAGCTAGTGGATTCAAACTGTGGAACTGTGGACATTTTGGTTACCAGCCCAGCTCTTTACCACTGAGCCACCAGGGCTACAAGGACTATGCTAGCCCCTCTATTTATGCCTCTGTAATGTATGTGTTGTAAATCCTAACCCCTATACTTGTGGATGGAGCCCTGGTGGCACTATGGTTAAGAGCTTGGCTGCTAACCAAAAGGTCCACAGTTCAAATCTACCAGCAGCTCCTTGGAAACCCTATGGGACAGTTCTACTCTGTCCTATCAGAATCAACTCAATGGCAATGAGTTTTTTTTTTTGTTTTTGTTTTTTTTTAATACTTGTGGATGTAATCCCATTTGGGATAGGGTCTTCTGTTATGTGAATGAGGTCATATCAGTGTAGGGTGTGTCTTAAGCCACTCAAAACTTTGAGATATAAGAAGAACAGATTAGGCACAGGAGCAGGAAGCACACATGAAGAAAGACTGATATCACATGAATATCACCAAGGAACCAAGGAAGAGAAGGTAAAAGAGACAACAATTTTCCCATAGAGTGAACAGAGACTTCTCCTACAGCTGACACCCTGAATTCTAACTTCCAGTCTCCTAAACTGTGAGAAGATAAATTTCTATTCATTAAAGCCACCTACTTGTGGTATATCTGTTATAAAAGCACTAAGAAACCCAGATAGCCCCTCATTTATATTTACTGCAAACTTGTGATGTAAATTCTATCTCTATTTTAGAAATGGGGAGCTCTGGGTACAAAGCAGGTTAAGGATTAATCACAAATTCACACAGCCAGGAACCACACTTAGTCCTATATGATATCTAACCCCTTGTATTAAATTATTTTACTCTGGAAGCAGCACACATTTTTAGGATTGCATGTACTGTTTGGGTGGGGATCAAACTTCTATTGACCTCTGTGTTGTGCAAACTATATTTTCTGGATTCCTGTACTTTTGAATATATACAGAGGATTGATAGTTATTGTGAGGCACTCACATGTTTTCCCAGATTTCTAAATAGTCAGAAAGACATTAGAAAAGAGGCACCAATTACTAATATCCCTCAACAAATATTAAGTCTTTCCAGTCAGAGCCTGAACACACAAGATGCTCCTAGAGCATTAGCACATGGAAATTAGCCTTTATTACTTACAAGAAGCAGAGAGTATACAACAGGAAAAGTTCCATGAGGAGCTATCCCCCCAACTACCCTGGCTCAAAAGCTGCCCAGATAGAGATGCTTCCACATACCACCATAGCTGAAAGACTCAAAGGGCCTTGCTTATGTTGCTCCCCCCTGGCTATGTAGGCTTAGTTAGGTGGGCTGAAAAACTCTGCTATACTTACTCACACCTGGCATCATAGGTGAGGGACTCTGAAAACATGCCCTCCCTAGCCATGACTACATGGAGCACAATGTAGATTTTCTCACTTGACCACCATAGGGGAGGGTGGTCAGAAATGTGGACACCAGCCTGGAATGGTATCTCTATAACTCTGCTGACAAACATCAGGCCTCAGAGGGTGGGGGGTTGTGGTTTGCTCAGAGGCCTACTTCGTCATGCACCATTCCCTTCTTGAGACCTGTTACCAGGTGATGAGTTTGGGATCTCCAGACTCATTTGCACATGTTTAAGTGTTGCCTTAAAGAGATCTCTTTAAAGTGTTAAAAGGCCACGATGTCACTTTAAGGACTAAGGTGCACCTGATCCAAGCCATGGTGTTTTCAATCGCCTCATATGCATGCAAAAGCTGCACAATGAATAAGGAAGACTGAAGAAGAATTGATGCCTTTGAATTATGGTGTTAGCAAAGAATATTGAATATCATGGACTGCAAGAAGAAAGAACAAATCTGTCTTGGAAGAAGTACAGCCAGAATGCTCCTTAGAAGGGAGGATGGTGACACTATGTCCCATATACTTCGGACATGTTATCAGGAGGGACCAGTCCCTGGAGAAGGACATCATGCTTTGGAAAGTAGAGGTCAGTGAAAAAGAAGATGCTCAGTGTGATGGATTGTCAAAGTGGCTGCAACAGTGGGCTCAAACACAGTAACAATTGTGAGGATGGTGCAGGACTGGGTAATGTTTCATTCTATTGTACACAGGGTTGTTATGAGTGATAACCAATTAGATGACACCTAACAACAACAAGTGTCGCCTGGCTGTTTTACAAAAACAAAGAACAAGTTGATTGCTTGGGAATTCCAAGGTCAGTTTTCAGAAACCAGAGACAAAAATCCAAACATGAGTTCATTGTCCCACAGTTATACAAGGGCTAACTGTAATGCTTTTGACTTTATCAACTTTTGCAAAACAATGGTGTCTTAGGCTGGGTTCTCTAGAGAAGCAAAACCAGTAAAACATATATATATATATATATATATATGAGAGATTTATATCAGGAAATGGCTCACGAGGTTGTAGAGGCTGTAATGTCCCAAGTCTGTGGGTCAGGATAGAGGCTTCTCCTGATTAATGTAGCCACAGGGGCTGGCAAACTCAGGATTGGCTGGTCGGAGAGCAAGACTGTTGCTTACAGGCTGTGAAGATCAATGAATCCCAAGACAGGCAAGCAAGACCTCAGGTAAGCTGCTAGTTGAAGTCCCAAGAACTGGAGGTCAGACAAACAGGAGCCAGCTGCAGGATCTAGAAAGAGCAAAACCCCCTAAGCCGTGCCAGAACGTCTGCCCACACTAATTGCAGTTCATATGCCCAAGGAAACTCCCCTTCAGCCGATTGGCTACTCACAGCAGATCCCATCATGGAGGTGATCATATATCAAATCTCAACAAGGAAGTGACCACAACATCACATGACTGCCAAAACACTGAGACTCATGGCCCAGCCAGGTTGCACACAATCTTTTTTTTTTTTTTTTTTAATATTTTATTGTACTTCAGGTGAAGGCTTACAGAACAGATACTTTCTCATGTAACAGTAACACACATGCTGTTTTATGACATTGGTTAACAACCCCAC